TTCAGGGTTTCAATTCTTGCTTTTTCCTTTTCAGAATACCTGTCAGCTCTAGGCACCTTATTATGCAACCAGCCAGAAAGCTTGAATTTGTAAGGATGAAGCAAATAGAAATAACGGAGGACAAATGGTGTACGTATATCCTCTGTCATCTTCCGAGGAACAGTCAGTGATTGAATAGAGCTTCCAGTGAGTCAAACCCTCTTGTGCTGAGAATTCAGAATATCCTCTTCTTGAATTCCTCCCATTCACCAGATGAGATGAAGTGCAAAAAGGCCAGTGAGGTTGTTCTTGAACCAGGTGAGAAGAGTCCACGTAATTTCAGATTACTGGAAAGTGAAGTTGAAGAATCACAGACTTGATTTGTGTTTTTTCAAGGAATTGAACCTAACATGTTAGAGATTGTGCAATGGAGAGAAACTTAGGAGAAAGACAGACATTAGACCAACTGTAGTGATACTATACTGTACCACATTTCTGGTAATGACAATTAAGAGAATATTTTAAAGGGACTCTGAACTGCTTGGGAGCCATTCAGCAGAAGGCAAGACAGCCACAGATGGTTTAAAATGGTAACAAATGAGAGGAGGGACAAACTGAATTATTTAGGTAAATTCACCCACAAGTGGAACCTATGACCAAGTTGTTGTGCTCATTATTGACACAGCAACAAAGATATGGTTCTAAGATGGCATTTGCCCTCCCAGATTCTCCCGTATGATTAGATGAGAATATGATAGGTGAAGCTTATCGTCCAATATGTATATGGAGATTCACAATCATCCAGATAATAGTTGTGTCAAAGATGCTTTTTCAGAAAGCAACTGGACTTTGTTTTTGCTTGAAGACATTTCACTTCCCATCTCATTTGCACTATTCGGGTGCCTCTGAGGGCTCAGATAAACCTCCAAGTAGCTTCAACAGCTCTCAGAAAAAGTGCTAACAACCAGATGACTGCAAGGAATATAAACTTTTCCATTCTCCATTTATTCAGAACTGAAGAAGCTTCTTGGATGAGAAGCAAAATGTCTTCAAGCAAAAACAAAGTAAGTCCAATTGCCTTTTGAAAAAGCACCTTTGAGATTATCATCCAATAGTTGAAATACTGTAGCTTTCCAAAAATCTGCCGTGGTCTGTGAGTGTTGGCTAAGAATTCAAATGATTGGGCAAGCTGTGGTTTTAGAAAACATGTTGAGAGCCATGACAGGAAATGAAGTGAGCCATTTTAGAGAGCAACTGCTACCAAAACTTTTAATGCTCCAGAATGTCCAGCTATTGCAACAGAGTTGATAAACCCCTTTCCATAAGGAAACAAGAATCCACTATAGCTGATCATAGTAACACAATAGTCTATTTTGGAAGGAAAGTGGTAATAATGAAATAGGTCCTTCTGAAGATAATCCATCCTAGTGTAAATGAAGGGGTCCTGCTCTTGCTGAGCATAGATTTCTGGCTCAAAAAGTCCCATAGTTCAGGAGACTAAATGTCCTGGGTGCAAAACGGAAGGTAGAAATGGTTAACAATGTAAAAAATAGATTGACTTGCTTGTTCTGCATGCCTCAAACGTAGATTTTGAAAATCAAAATGAAAAAAAGGCTCACTTAGGCACTCAGCTACCTTTGAGAAATCTGTGTATATTTTATGTCATTGTGATCCATCTGACCATTTTTGAGTATATGTGTTTGCAGAAGTTGGAGCCAAGTCTGAAAAGCTTCTTAGTGGTCCAAAGTTCCCTGTTAAATATATCAGTGTTGTCTGGCTAGTGGTGACAGCTGCTGGAAAAAGACTGCACAAGGCAAATGTGCCCTAAATATTCTAGGGCAGTTTGAAGCAAGATGAAATAAAAAGCCTCATCTTATACAATGAAGAAGTGAGCCAAATCAGAAGTGAAGACCTCTTAGAGTTCAAAGCTTGTTTAACTTAAAGGAAAACCTCTTCTTAGTTAAATGAAGCAGTGGTAAGGGCAGCAAAATTCAAAATAAATTTAAGGTAGAAATTGGCAGTTAATTTAGTGAATATGGACTGATCCCCAGTACCTTAATTAAGGTAACAATTTAGCCAGGTTGATTTTGTTTGGGACGCTGCGTTGTCTTCCCTATATTTTCCTATATTTCCTCTTTCTTAATACTTTATTTCTATAGTTCGTATCATTTATTGTATATGGGGATTTCTCATTAAGATCTTTATAGGCAATAGTATACAATTACTCAACTATTATATTTCTGAATTACAAAGTTTGTTTTGTTGGTCTGGATTTGGGGTATAAAGATCCAAAGCACCTTCCTTTCCCTTTTCTTAGAGTTGTGCTGAAGGAAATGTCTTGGGCTAAAGTGCTAAGATCTTCTTACTTGGAGAGTCTAGGGGTGTCATGAGGTGCAGCCCAAGACACAGCAGCCTATTCTAGCTGTTAAGAGTTATGCCATACTAAAGAGCAAATCAGGCAAGGCTCCTTTGGATCTGATGTAGGCACTCTCTCATTATTTAATACCTGTAGCCAATAGGTACAACACAGTTGCCAACTATTTCTAGTAATTTTTTGTTGGGAAAATATATGATTATTGCCTGTAACTTGTAAAAATGGTGTCAAAAAAGTTGTGTTGAATTGGGTTGATGAGAATCTTAAAAAGAAAGATGAAAATTTAAAGAGCAAAGTTATGTATGAAACAGCTTGTGAATGTGGTGGAAACAAGGATGGTTTGCAAGGACATAAAGTTACAGAGAGATGCATCTTATGTGTTCTTTTGCTGTTTCTTTTTTCTGTGATTTGCATTAACATGCATAGAGTCCATACTTGTATGCAGAGCACACATTTGAGGCACGCAAATGAGAAGCAAATGAAGGGAAATGCTCGATAATAGATCTGCAACAGTTTAGGGCAAAAGTGGGAGTCAGTATTGACTGCAGTGATATTTCTAATCACACATTTTTTTCTAATACAAATACCTCATACGTTTATTCTTATTTATTAGAATCTGTTCAGTGGAATGATGGATAAATAAAAAGCAACACTATTCCTTGTTCCGGGTGATGGCCATCCTTAATACTTACTTGCCTACATTTGGGGATTATAAACTATTATAAAGCACCTCCAAAATAAATGCCAATAGCCATTAGCAGAACTGAAAAGCTGAGATCTGACAAAACAAAATTCTGTTTATATTATTATAGCAATTATATTTTCATTTCATTTTGAAAGACAAACTTCAAAGCCACCTTTCTACATTCACCTTTTTCAATTTTGGAATGAGTACGAGATAGCTGGGAAGATAATGAAATCAATACATCATTAGTAATATTTTAGATTTATCGACCCTCCTAAACATTTTGACTGTGCCCAATGATCAAACATTTAGGTTTGTATATATAACAACAATGTAATAAAACTTACCTCAATGGAAACAAATATTTCTATATTTCTTCAACAATCTTCACTTTTGAGTTAGTTTTTTTTGGCCCAAAGCCAATCTCATCCTCAGGAAACAATGTTTCACAACATTGCAATCATTTCTTCAATATATATTGGCTAAAACTAAGTCCTTTATCCTGAAGCAAGTTTAGTGAGTGCCTTTCCTGTTATGGTACTTTTAGATTTCTACATATACAACAAAACAGGAAAGCTGAAGCAACAATTCATCTTGAATCTGTGAAAAACAGATATGGCTTTTAGACAAGTTCTTTGATTTGAGAAGCTGGTGGGTTCATATTAAAAGAAGTCAACATATGAAAAATTACATGGGGGAAAGGGCAGTGATAGATATCTGGTAACAAATAAGTAGGAAATTCTTCACAGCAATGTGATTTAAAACTAATACGGTATATAAAATATTGCTATCATAAAATTCTATAAAGTATTTGAAGGGAGGATTTTAAAAACAATTAGAGCAGTTTTTCTTTTCTTAAACACAGTATTTCTACCTTTGCTCCTTTCTAGTTTTCAATTACCTTTCTAAAATAAAATGACCGGATTTTGTGGAACGTGGCACTTTTGGCTCTTTAACACATTGATAGCATTACAAAATTGGTATCAGGATACAGCTGTCTAGTGACTACAAGGTGTTTGACAAATATGTACTATCCAATCAGTGCACGTCACTAGCCATCTGTTTCCTGTTTTCATTCTTTCCCCATTATCATTTTATCAGAGTTTCCCTTTCACCTGAAGTTTATTTAGAATACAACACCACAATATGTACATTTTATATTAAGAATGTGGTGAGCAGTATTCTTAAACCCATATAGAAACTTGTTCATCATACATAGAAGAACTGAGTGGAAATAAGTCTGTACTTTATAAGACATGTATGCACATTTTACACAGAGAGAGGCTTTTGCCTAAACTTCATCGGAGGAGTAACTTCTGATCTTACTGCCAGTTAATTAGCTTCTCTGTCGAATGTCTCAAATTCTGGAATTTAATTATTAATCAACTCATTAAAAAGAAGTGTTGTGCTATCCAATGAAAGAAATCTAGTCATATTTTCCTGTCCTTGTTCTCTCTCAAATTAAACCATCATACCTGCAAAAATAGGTATCACTTGTCAATCTAATATCAGAAATACAGGACAATATAAAAAGAAATATATTAACTATGCTCTAGTTACTGGTTTTTATTTTTAGCTAAAGTTAAAGAAACATGTACAATATGGAATGGAAGTAATAAAATCTATACATCAGACTCTTCACTAGCCAATATTGCCATCCGACATTACTCATCTAAACATATGAAATGAACAAAAAGTAGGGATCCATAAATCGACTGAATGCCAATAGCTGATACTCCACTGTTTTAATCTCTAATAGTCATATATTTGCATAGCGGTTAGAAAAATAAGGGAAAAAATCCACGAATGAGAACTATACGACCTGCTAGACTAAAGCCTGATGACTGGAGCCAACACAATTGTGTCCTGCTGGGCTGAGACTAAGTCAAGACTGGGTTAGGCTCTGGCCCAGCAGGAGGCATGTCAAGTTATCAGACTTAGTCTAATTGGGCAGGAAGATGAAGCAAACCCATTCGTGGATTCTCCATCTTCATGCTGGAGAATATCTGTGTATAATTATAATCTTTTAAAATTATGCCAGATATATATTAAAATAATTGCAGTACTTTAAGATGTCATTATCTGATCGTATATTTATTCATGCAGTTATTCAATTTATATATCCACCTATCTCAAATTGACTCTGGAAGGCTAAGAGTAAAAAAAATCATCAAAAGACATAACTATAAAAAAGAACATACACATTCAGCAGCTGAGGTATAAAACTACATAGAACGAACAACAAGAAACCAGCATAACTATTACATAAGCTTTGCCACTCCACTGGATCTCCAAGCTAAAAGGGTATGAAAAGCATATTTACTGAACTGCTAGAAGAAAACAATGCAGGAAAAAGACCCAGAAATCTGCAATAAGTGATTTAAAAGTACAGGACAGAATAAGTCTGTACACTGAGGATTAATCATATTAAAAATTGCATCTGACATAAGGAAAATAAACTCTAATGCAGAAAAATGTTCATATTTTATTTTAGTATTATTACAACTGATTCATTTTTAGAGAAAACAATACTATATATTACATATAAACACTAACTGGTATATCCAATTTCAATATTCAGGAGCTGTAATATTTTAGCAACCTCTCATCTGTTGGTTTCAAAATCTTCTTTTCTGACATATTTACTATCCAACCAGGAGCAAGTCCAAAGAAAATCTGCCTAGGGTCCTTCTGAGAACTCAACATTTCGAAGAGTTCATCTTTGGTAATATCTGGTAAGATATAACCATATTTTTTAGAAAGTTCCATCCTTGCTTCAGCAATTTTTGAAGGATCGGCCAAGTAGCCTCGGTTTGCAGGATCCGTATAGTAACGGACAAGATCTTCAGGAGGAAGCATTCGCCTTGGAATAGGTTTGCCTCTCTGAAAAAATGGCACTGGTTTGCAAAGAACCTCTATGTGTAAAACATGGAATAAAGAGATAAAATATTATTTTCACATTAACAATCCAACTTCTGGAATAATTGCATTAACACAAAATAAAAAATACATTTGCTTCCATTTTGTATATTGTATTGTTAAAATTAACCCAACCATATTGTTCTGCCCTAATGATACCTGTAGGGCAAAGACTAGAAAACTAACATTTAGATTAAATCTGGTGAAAAGTGTCACAGATATTTTTAAAAAAAATTTGTAAAGCTTTTATTTTTAAACAATGACAGACTGATGTATTTAAACAATATTTGGCAAGATCAAAGGACATGAAGATGTATTGAAAATTCTTACCCAAACTCCTTGGATCATAAAAAGCTGTAGTAATTACACCACCATTTTTTTCAACAGCAGCTATGGCTAGTTCAGATACCCACTGTACTTCAATGTTTATTTTTGCTGCAAAAGTATCAGCACCCTGTAAGTTTACATAAACTGAAGTTAGATTACGTAACATCACTTTAAAACATCCTTCACCCATCTGCCCATTCTAAAATACAAGTTATCAATCCTGTTATTTCAGGATTACTGGAGTTTATTTCATACTATCCTGTCTTTGAAGACAGCCAGGAAATTGAACCTGATACAAGTTATAGCGGTCTGGATTATAACTGGGACCAGGTTAAGTTTGAAAACAAGCCATCTGGAGCACTCATTCAGTCGTATTGTGATAAAAAAGGAAAATGGTGGGAAATAAAGCCTGGCTGTCGAGCAATCATACAACCACAGGGTTACTACAACAACTGGAACTTCAAGGACAGATTTTAAATATCACTCATTTAGTGCCATTTTAAGTTCAGTCACTGAACGAGTGATTGTCAAGTGAGGACCACCTATACTTTGTCATATTCTCATGCTTGTACAGTGGCATCTCACAAGAAGAGGAATCTTAACTTTCTTTTGATTATTCATTCTCAGATCATCCTTTGGGGATGACTGTATTTCATTTTCTGACTTCCTGGTCTCCTATCCATATAATTCCTATAAATTACACAGGTATTTCCTAACAGTAATAGAGCTCTGATAAATATAGCCTTTAGACTGAAATTGTAGTACCATCAGTTTAAGGATATGGTCATTTTTAAAATTTCTTTCTTTCTGATTGATTATATGCCATTTTGTGGAGGCATATGTTTCTAAAATATTATTAAATATTTTTTAAAAAACTATTCAGATGCATAAAGCTCCTAAACAAAATACTTCATTTATTATTACTAACAAAAAACAAAAAAATCAATGGTTTGAGAATATTATCAAAATTGTTCAATAAGTACATTACTGCAGCACGTTTTACCACACTTCAATATTTCTTTTAGCATTGTTTAAAATTATGTATTTGTTAATATGGGACAAATTGTTCCCAGAAGGAGGGGGAATGTGTACTTTCAAAATTAAATTATTAAAAAAAAAGTTACAGACTTGCCTCCTCCACAAGATGGATACCATAATGTCTTTTGAATGGCTGTAATGTTACACCTCTGGCATTTGTCAGCTGGGTAAGATCTATTGGTTGCATGGGATCAATTCTGCCTAAGTCAATAAGGTATTGCAGCTTTTTGAGACTGATGGGTGGATATTGACGTCTGAGACTGTGAAATGAAAAGAAAATAAATATTCAGAAAGTAAATCCAAGTAATTTAAAAATATTGATAGTATAATACATCAACACATTGTTCTTAGACAATAACCTTCAATGAAAGATGAAATATTCTTCTGCAATCATACAGATTCACTCAAGACTATGTATCTTTATGTAGGAAACATGTTTTGCAAAGCAAAGACCAGCTTAATATTGTGCACTGATAGATCCCATGCCAATTAACAATTCAGAAATAAAAAGGTACACATTTCTCTTACAAAATCTTCTTTTAAACAATTCTCTTTAGCAGCCTAGCTATAAATTGCAAATATCAAGATAAAGGAAAGCAAGTATAATATCAGTTATAACATCTGAATAATGCAATTAAAATGTGTTTAATTCTGTCTTCTGTATTATTAGCTATGAAATTATGAGAATTACAAGACAATTACAATTGTAATTACAATTACAGGACAATTCTATCATTTGTGGTTATAGAGACACTATTTAAAATATTAAGCCAATCACTACAATTAGATGAACATACATTAAAATACTCAGAAGGTTCATTTATGTTTTTCATTGTGGAAATCAACTATCAGATGTTTCAGAAATCATTTGTAATGAGATCTGAGGAAGGATTCCAATTGTAGTGGAAAAGAATAGACTAATTTCATGTCTTAAAAGAATAAAGAAAAAAGTTGATTATGATTATGATAAAATTTTTATCCTACCCGTTATATAAATACATAGATTGATAGATATAATTCAAGGCAGCAAACATACCTAATAATAATTCTACCCCCTATTTTCCCATAACAACTCTGTTAGTGGGTTGGGTTGAGAGACAATGACTGGTCCAAAATCACCTAGCCAGCTTTTATGCCTAAGATGATAATAAATTATTATCATTATTGGATGCCATTTAGAAAATATGTACATTGACAACATTTCCATCTGTCAATTACATAAGGCCACCCTGGATTCACAGAAATACTACTCCTATAGGACAACTCAATGTACTTGAAAGCAAACACCAGCTAAAGAACCAGCAGATGTTATTTCACATTTTTGTACATATAATAATAATGGAATAAACTTACTGGTGTCCTTCATTGTAGCCATATTTTGGAATAACCAGATAAAATGGTGTTTGGCCACCTTCAAAGCCTAATCGAGGGAGTGACCCAGATTTTGCTTGCCCGCCAGTTCTCTTTGAAGGATTATATCTTCCACGACCTGGTGTTTTGTTCTTAAAAAGAGCAATATGTTTACATGAGTTTCATATTCAAATTTAATTCAGTTCCAGCCTCCTCTTTTATCCTTTTGTTTTCATAGGCTATCCCATTCCTTACAACTCTATTCCAGTACGAATGCAAAAAACCATTTTAAAATTTTGTATTGTACTGTACTATTGTTTTAAACTGGCTGTAAGCCGCCCTGAGTCCTCCGGGAGAAGGGCGGGGTATAAATTTAATAAAATCAAAATCAAATCAAAAATCAAATCAAAATATCTCATTCCCCTACCAGTTTGGATACTGAAACAACTTTATATATATTCTGCATTGCTTGGCAATGGAACCAATCAGCATATTTTTTTAAAGGATTAGAAAAAACATTCAAGTGAAAGAAAAACCTTCTTACTATATAGCAGTGTTTCTCAACCTTGACAATTTTAAGGCATGTGGACTTCAACTCCCAGAATTCTACAGCCAGCAATGCTGGCTGTGGAATTCTGGGAGTTGAAGTCCACATGCCTTAAAATTGTCAAGGTTGAGAAACCCTGATATAGGGCAAGTGAATGCGGAGCAGATGTAAAAACTACAGAAAGGGCTAAGCGGAAGGGGAGAAGGGAAGGGAATCCTCAGGACTGGCTTCACGTGGCAAGGGACGCCTAGCTTCCTTTCGTTTCCGCGAAAAGAAGGCAAAAGCGGCCTACGTTGGAGCAGCAGCAGCAGCCCAGCGGAGAGCGGCAGAAGCCCAGCAAGCATTCAACTCACCTTTCGCCGGGCATCAGGGTTAGGCCGTAAGTTGGCGAGGCTGACCCTAGGCAGGCTGCGCAACAACTCCAAGGCTTTCGTTCTGTTCCCCCCGCCAGGTACCCGCGAAGCCGCCATCGCCTTCGCGCAATTAATCAAGGGCGGCAGCAAGGAGAACCGCCGCGCCGCGTGAAAAGGGCAAGCTCGTCGGCGGCCTCTTGCGCAGGCGCGTAGAGAGACATAGAGGAACGAAAAAATGAGGAGCCCTCCTCATGGTTTGATTAAGTCTACAGTGTTTCTCAACCTTGACAATTTTAAGGCATGTGGACTTCAACTCCCAGAATTCCACAGCCAGCAATGCTGGCTGTGGAATTTTGGGAGTTGAAGTCCACATGCCTTAACATTGTCAAGGTTGAGAAACACTGGATTAAGAGTTTGCTTTTTACTGCAGTTTCGGGTGTTGCAGTCAACGCGCGTGAAAGCTACAGCAAAGACAACAGTTGTCGGGAAATCGCAGCGTTACGGGCTGGGTAATTTTGTAGCGTAGGAAAGGGAAATGTTCTGTTTTTTTTCTGTGGGATCCCTTTAGTTTGATTTTGATAAAACTATAACGTACTGACTGGGGTAGCGAAGATGCCAAGGGGCTGTGTGAAAGTTATTCACGCTCTTAAAACACTTGTGCATCTGAATGCATATCGATTCCATGGCTTGTTTTTTGATAGCATGCCCTTTATATTGAACTGCATTGGAGATCTGTCGTGGAAAAGGTTGTCAATTAAAATACAGTACTGAGTTTTCAAAAACTTTGATTTTCAATAATTATTTAAAGCTCTTGGTTTAACCAGTTTACGTATTAGAACGAAGATTACATGTCAGAATTGGTGCACGCTGACTGACACCTACCTATCTTTCCATATGCTTACATGTGGGTTTAAAACAAACCTGGATTTCCAATATAAATATTAAAATTTAATGCTTAACAGTTTTATAGTACGTGCAAAATCTCTGAGGCTAAAATATTGTTTTTGTTCTACTCGGCAGGACAGGCTGCTGCCTAATGCCACACAGCTGCAATAATATTGGCATTCTTCATTTCTATTTTGGGCAGCTGTCGCATTTCTTTACAGAGTTAATCGCTCCAATTTTTTTTTCCTCCCCAAAAGATATTTAATGGGCAGATTAACACGAAGAAGCCATTTCTAAATCTCAGCTCAACTCATTTCACAGAGTTGTGGGAAAAATAGGAGAAAGGAGGACTGTTCGATTGTCTCCTTGGAGAGACAAACAGGAGGAAGGAAGAGAAATTTTGGTTGTCTCCTTGTACTTTTTTAAAAAAAATAAACCATGCTTTTTAAAGATGGATAACATATGATAACACTCCCCCCCCCTCTTGATGAAGTCCGACTATCAAAATAGTAATTCTACGGTGAGGAATGATTTGGAAGATCATTGGAAAATCACATGTTGCCAATCTTTGAATCAGCTAAAATAAAGCAATGGTATCAAAAGCAAAAAGGAAACCCACTTAATTTTTTCCTGTAAAATTAAAATACTTGTTTGCTAAAACGCTTCGCGGCTTCAGCTAGCGGAATCCAACAAAACCCCAGAGGAAGCTATAAAACTATAGTTTATAGTTAAGTTGATTATTGCATATTAGAGTTACAGTAAGTTTATACTTGTTTATATCACGAATGAGTTGTTTTGGTTAGACTTGGATTATTATGTGATTATTCCTGTACTCAGTTCTGGGAAGTCCGGGGGGGGAGGGGAGAAGGGGATTAGGAAATAAAAATTAAGGAGAGGAGAGAGAAAAGAGTAAAGGAGGGGAGAAGGAAGTAGGAAGGTTGGAGGAGAGAGTGGTGAAAGAGAAGAGGAGAGGAGAGGAAGAAGAGGGAAGTAGGGAAGAAAGAGAAGGAAGGGAGAAAGAAGGTAGAGAAGAAGGAGTGGGGATGCAGTGAAAGGGGAAATGGGCGAGCAACACCAAAAGTCATGTGCAT